AAAACAGCCAAACCATGGCACGCAACGAGCAAATCAAATAAGCCAACATGCAGCTGGCATGTTCCACAGGTTTCCTCCTTAAGCCCTATGGTGCTACCAACTGGTAAGAACAAGGACACCTATGCAAAGCCTTATGGAACTACATAACCTTTTAATTCCCCAAAGAATCCCCAGGTGTCCTTACATGTTTGATAGCACTAATTAGACTGACACTTGGCATGCATGATTGTAATGAGAGCCTGCTATTAACCACATTAATTTATTTTAAGCTGTAAAAGAGCCAGAAACACCTCAGTTTGTGCCTGTTCTCTCACCTTCTCCCACAATGCCCTCTTTAAATATGAATATATTCAGTGTTACAAAACACCACAGGGAGAAGATGATACATACATTGGAATATATTTGCCTAGGTCCAAATGTAAATGGATACAGTCAGACTTGGATGCAGATCTTAACCTGCCTTCAGTTTAAACAAACAGAAATCTTTATTAAAAAAAAATAGTAAAAAGGCAAACATCAGGAGACTCAGCCTGGTTCCAGGACAATCTGAGGATGCCATCCTCCCAAAAACAAGTAAACACAAGGTGAACAGAGGCAGTTTATGTTTACTCAGCTGCATTTGCCCTCAGGTCTGACTTTCACAGCCAAGGAAAGTTCTTTTGAAAGCTCTTTTGCCCTGTTATTTAAATAGCAGCATAAGCTGACAGGGCACTTTCCAATAGGTAACGATGATGACTCCTCAACAAAGAACAGGAACCCTGTCCCAAGGGCTCCCAGCATAAAAGGGCAAGACTCAAGACAACATGAAATAGAGCAAACAGAGCAGCTAGTGGTCATGGAGAGAAGGCTTTGTGGCACAGATGGATCTTATCTCACTCAGACTGGCTCCCAGCAAGCCTGGCTCTTGAAGAGCCCATGCATAAGGAACAGAACAGTATGTTTATAGTAGGAGCAGCAAACAAATTACATTTTAGCTAAACCATGCCGAAACCTTACATGTACTTGCCAATGGCAAGTAGGAAACTCTAGAGAGGAGGTGAAAATAAGAAACGGACAGTTTCATTGCTGTCATCTAGCATTTTCAGCAGCTGAGAGGCAGGACTTTAAGTTTTATTGACTTGCTTCCTGCATGCTTGAACATACCAGCTACAACTGCCTCCTTTCTTCCAGCTCCAACATGGATCGCCTAATCCAGGGGTGGGCAATTATTTCAGCTACAGGATCATTTAACAAGTTTTGATGTGGCATTGAGGGCAGCAAGAGTAGCCCTGCCCCTTGACAGGTGCCCCACCTGCCTAGTCACCATCTTAGGGCTGGACATCCTGCCCCCTAACCCCTGACCTTTGCCCCCAGAAGTCGCTCCCCTTGCTCAGGAAGTACTCCTTTGGGGGTGGGGGGGCTGTTTGTACAGTGTGGGGGAGTAAGAGGATGTATGCGGGGTATGGGTATGGTGCAGTGGGGGGGTATGGGAGGGGTGTAGGTGTACTGCGGATGGGTGTAGGTGTGGTTGCAGTGTGGGGTATGTGGGACAGTGTTGGGTGTGTGTAGGTATGATGAGGGGTGGGGTAATGCAAGGTGTGTGTAGGTATGGTGGGGTATAGGACAGTTTTGGGTGTCTGGGTATGGTGGGTGGTAAGGTATGTGAGGGGGTGTGGGTGGATTAGGTGTGCGTGTGTGGGGGGCTTCCCCCCTGCCCACTCTGTGACGTGGCTGAGTCCACCCCCTCCACAGGCAGGGGGAGGGAGAGGAGGTCAGCATTGTCTGCCTGGCTTGCAGTGCATTGTAAAGGGGCAAGAAAGCAGCTGCTGCCAGCAGGCAGAAAGATAAGCCCTTGGGGGAGGTGGGGGGCAAGGAGCCAAGTCTGGCACCGCCAGCTCTTTTGGCCTCAGTCCCACACATGCCCAAAGGGGCTGCAGCCTAGCCCATGCTGGCTCCTGCTTCCACCCCTCTTCCCTGTCCCGTGCCTGGCCAACAGGGTTGTGGCCAAGCCCGCACTAGCTCCTGCTGCCGCTCCCACCCCACCTGCCTGTCTGGCGGGACCACAACAAGCCCAAGCTGGGACTTGTGGCTGCTTCCACCCCACCTGCCTGCCCCCATGCCTACCCAGCAGGGCTTTGTGAGCAATCGAGCTCCTTCATACCCCCGCCCCTTCCATCCACATGCTCCCCCACCCAGCCATGCACAAGCAGGACCAAAGCAAACTGCAAGCAGAGCCTGCCCCTCGCCCTGCTCCCCTTAACGCTGCAGCTTCCCTTGCTTCCACTGAAGCAGGGACAGGAGGAGGATTTGCTGGAGGCCAGGGGAGCCCAGCAGTTCCCTGGGCAGCTATAGCAACAGCAGCTCTGCCCGGAAACTGCCTGCTGGCCGGGGCTGGGGCCCTCCAGTGGGGGAGGCCAGGAGCTCAGCACACGCTGCCCCAGGCAGGAGCGGGAGGGATTCAACCCCATTCAGCGTGCAGCAGGGGCAGCCATTGCCAGGCCAAATACAGTTAATCGATGGGTGTCCACCTGCAGGCCGGATCCAATCAGCTGGTGGGCCAGATCCGGCCCATGGGCTGTATTTTGCCCACCCCTCCCTACCCTCTTCCCTCCACCCAAATTCTTCTCATCAAAGTCTAAAAGCCCATCCCCTTCCACAGCCCCGCTGCCTTTCATGATGTTAGCCATACCCTCCAGGGAATGTTTTCCTCCCCTGGCTGATCCCATGCCAACTTTATTCCACTTCACAGTAGTCCCACACACATGGGCATCTACCCTTCCCTCTCCCTTTTGACCTATTCTTCAGCTGCTTTCACCTACGATATGAAAACCTGGAATCAATGACAAAAGGTCCACAGACTACAATAAGGACAGTATTTCCACTCAAGGCTTCTACTGTCCTCTCTACACTACAGACTCAAATCCACCTTTCCACTCAAATTCTCTCTCTCTATCCATCCAATGCATGTCCTCTCCCCCAAGTTCCTCTCCTGGATTTTTCATCATCAACCTTCACTCTCAAACCATCTCTGCTCTCCCTATTCCATTTTCTCTTAACAGCTGAACCCCAGTCACTCAGTCAATTACTACGGACAGCGGCTCCATTCATTGCCATGTTCTATATGTAAATTTTTCCAGTCCTCGAAATCTGGAAACTGCCAAGGGTGCAGTGAAAGTGTCTAGTATTACTATCAGAATACAGACATGCACTTCACAAGGCACAAGGACTGAAATGGAGTGTTGCTTTCATAAGATTGCCAGCTAGTTCTGGGATGACTGCCTATCGCTAAGCTGAACTTTTTTCCCCTCCAAGATCCAAGTCTACATCCCATTAACTGATACTAGGCATGTCTTATGAAAGGGTACAGCCAGCGGTTAAAGAGAAGGGCAAAGAATCTGACTTGTTTAAACAAATCCATGTACCCTCTAAATACAATGTTAAATTAGACTGCCCAGATTTGCGTGCTGTCTCTGACATGACAGACTTTGAAGCTCTACCATTCAAGAGATGCATGTAGGCAGAAGTAGTAGGAAGTGAAACCTAACAAGCAACAGAACAGACAGACTCCAGCGAAATTCCCCAGACTGCAACCCAAAGGTAGCTTGAGGACTCACCAAAATGGAAAGGTAAGAAGATCACTGACCACAAGACAAAACACCACCAAGCAAGCATAAGGCTGAAGCACTGAACATTGGCAAACAGGAACAGCATGTATTCACAGCTAAAGTGATAATTTGAAGGCAGTGGTTCTCAACACAGGGGTTGCCTAGGGGCAGGGAAAGGCAGTGGCAGCAGTCCCCAGAGGAGCAGCTGCAGGCACCACCGGATTAGCTGGGGCAGGTTCAGGGTGCTAGACAGGAGGAGAGCTTTTACCTCCTCACACAAAGAAATCTCACAGCACACTTCCACCGCTCACCCTTTAGGAATCACTGATTTAAGGCCTCCTTGCCTATCATAAGCCCACCACCGTGTTTCTAGCTACTCCGATCTCCAGGAGCCAACCAAGCAGTTGGCTACCAAAGAGAACTAGCTGGGGAATTCAGAAGGGATGCTGATATCCACGTACAAACTGCATTAATGCAGGATACCTGCAAGCAGGTTAGTATGTATATGAATGTCTAGGATGAATACCAAAACAGGAGCTAATATTTAAAAGACACAGATTTAGAAACTCCAGCTTTCCTGTGATACATCACCATTTCAATAGAGTAACATTAAGCATTTTGTGGTTCCCTATCACAGCCTTCTGGGAGCAGGGTGTTTTCTTGTCACATGTAGGGGATCTAAGACTAGTCTATCCACCCAGGGATGGGATAGATATACTGGCAAATTGTTCAATTCCTGGGTCCAGAGGAAGTATACAATACAATGGTTCTCTTGAGTAACCTACTGTGGCCCATCTTTCACAGCAGTGTCCATGGACTCCTAAACATGCTTTCTTCTGTATCTGAGTATTTTCTGAGGGCAGGAAGAAAAGCATAAAAGTGGGAACAAAGGAAGAGTTAAGGTACTGTGTGGTACTGGACACTGACACAAGCAGTCAGCATAATCCAATATATTTCTCTCTATAGGTAGGTGAAGAGCAAAATTGCCCACAAGATGCCGAATATATACAAAAGGGGTTTTATGCTGTAGTCCTCATCATTGCAGAGAGAGCATCACCTGCTCCATTAGGAACCCTCAAGGTTGAACATCACATTGAGTTATGTGCGAGTTTGCCATACCAGAGAATCTAATTAGAAACGCAAGATATTTAACACTTAGCTGAAAGCAGACAGAGGAAGGAAGAGCTACAAAGAAGCTCATTAAGAATGACAGGTAAATGAAATCCTTCTACTCATCAATTAAAGTGACACTGCCTAGAGCTGCTGTCACCCCCACAAGTGAGTTAAGAGACTGCTCAGTGCAAATTAGCCACCTCCCCACGAAAGACTGTATTGAATATAGAGAGTATCTTTATATTGCTATATCGGCCAAGGTTAAGCTCAGTCCTCATTTAATAAATGTGCTCAATGACTCACCCTGCTGGATATGCGACGAGACCAGTTTTGGGGTCACAGGCTAATCCTCTGCCTCCTGACACAGTTATTCCCAACACTTTCTCCAAGGTCACCTAATACAAAAGAAAAAAAAAGTCACAAAGCATCATAAGCTGCAGTCAAAGACAGACTCGTACATAGCTTATCACAGCACTGAGAAAGGCAAAAGATCAACAAGAATCCACCGTCACTCATGTGACAGCCAATGGAGCAGGCTGCCACCCCTGAGCATCCAGAGGGAGCCTGAAGCTAGAAGAGCAGGGGTCACAAACCCAAATATGAGCAGTCCAGTCAGGCAGCTGCTGCTTGAAATGTCTGAATTTTTCCAGACAATGAGCTCACCTTTAGAAAGACAGAACTGGCAAAAGCCACTTGGAGGATGTAAGAACCCATCATCAGGCCTTCATCCCTTTATAGTGAACTGGGAGCAATCTGTAATCATTCTCATGTGTCTTTGCTTTTCCAAACTGCCGCTAGCAATAAACCCAAAACAGGCAAAGGAAGGATCTTTCTGCAAGGCCTATAGACTAGCTGTTCCAGCAGTTCCTAATAATGCTTTAAAGCTTTGGGATTCCCAGAGGTTCTGCTTGTACCTGAGGCTCACGCAAGCCACACAACCTATGGCATGGATTACACAGTGCAGAATCCAAGATCCTGCTAACTCTTTCCTACCTTAACCATTAGACCAATATTTCAAGTGTTTTCAGGTTGGCAGCCCCCTTCCTCAAAGTCAAACTTCCCAAAGCTCTTATCATTTTTATTCTGACTTTTAAAAGTAAATGTAGCAATGATAAGATGACATAACTACCAATCTATATGACCTCACAGACTTTGAAGGATTCTGTCACCTGAAGTTATTTTGGAAATCTTGTCTCCTTCATTTAAAAAGTGTAAAAAGCGTTTAATGTTTTACAACCCACCTCATCCCAAATGCCTTTCATGACTCATGCCCCTTCAGAGGTCACAAAGCACACACTGAGAACTACTGCAGGAGACCATCCAACCTAAGAAGAAAAAGGACCAAATGTTCTTGGTTTTTTTAAGGAAACGTAATGCTTATCAAAGAAAACTGATGCCAGATTAAAAGGCTAGGCTCTTAGTCAGTGGCATGAGACATTCTAGGAAACCATGCCCCTAAACTTCAGCCTACATTTAGCCCTTGGGATCCCCTGATTAAGGCACAAAACCATTTCCTCTTTCCTTTGTACAGTTTGGTTTTAGTTATTACATGTTGCATGCATGTGCCTTCTCCAGCACCACAATCTCTGCCAATTCATATTTTTATTGGGTCACGTTGTCTTCTGGTTTTAATTACCATAGTTCTAGTTATATTTTGTTACGCATTCATAAGCCTTCAGGCATAGGCACTGCATATGAGGATATTACCATAATTATTACTATTATCATTAATGGATGTCTTGGAGACCAACATCTTGTGTTTATGCAAACAACCTGGGACAAAAGGCAGAGATGTGACAGGCCTTGCCCTGCTGCCTTAACACAGATCCAAAAGAGCCCCCTCTAGCATGAAAAAAATGTGGTCTCCATCTGCTTGGTTCACTGCTCAGGTAGCTAAAGAGAATGCCAGGAGTAGCAGTGTGTTTTGGGATGCAACTATCTCCCGTTAGGAGTCAGGCCAAGACACATCCCCTACCCTGAAACAGGCAGAAGTTCAAACACTTCTGCCTTGTATTGGCTCCAGACTAGTGACATGAAGGTTAGAAGACTTCATATATCCCAGCCTCTGGAGACGCTCCATCCCCACTCTTTTTCCCTTAATAACATAGCCCAAATGTCTTAAGCCAGTATGAGGGAACATAAAATTGTCCCTTTCCTCTTGCATAATGAATCTCTCTTTGGAAATGTGGTTTCTACAAAACTGCATCTGATATTTTTGTTTGTTTTTTAATATGAGAGCATGCTATTAAAAATGCATCTATAGACCCACTAGCAAAGTGGGGAAATAACTTTTTTTCAATTCAGTATTCCCTTTAAAAAAGAAAAAAGAAAAGAAGAAACTTGTATTCTGACCGGGATTGTTACAGCTACTTCAAAGTATTTAACAACTTACTATTAAAAAGTCATTATAAGTGGACATAATCACACACACACACACACACACACACACACACACACACACACAAACTCTTCTAGAGGTAGAATCAAAGCTGGAATCTCCAGCTCTCTGCCTCAGTCTTACAGGGGTTGAGACTATGTTCTCAGGCCCAGAGAAGATGGCTGACACATGACATGAGTCACTCAAGTGATCCCGCTGTGGCCTTGTCCATGTTATACCTGTTGCCATAACAGACATCAATGTGACCTCAATGCAGATGTAGCCCCAACTGGCTTTAACTACACAGTTTCCCAAATATTGCTATATAAAATTATCTGCTATTGGCTACATTACCACTGAAGAAGCAAGGGGGGCACCTTGCTACAGTTCCAGAGGGGCAAATTCAAGTCTTGCTCCAGACTCCAGTCAAAGGCCACAACCAGTTGTCCCAGTTTGAAATGAGCACCTGGAATTTGGGCTGAGTTGTCAGCTGTCCAACTGCCTTGTGTGGTGCTGGACACAAACTCATGTGCCTTCACCAGGCTAGCCCAAAGGAGTTGCTAGACTTGGGCAGATCTTTTATCTGGATATTCACATATAAATAATATTCTTTAATGGACTATGTTCAGCTTCTTAGAAGGGCATTACAAAGGATTCTTCCACCACTAACTTAAGGAAATGTGACCTAAAAGACTTAATCAAAGGACCTATTCTGTCCTCATTAACTCTTGCTGTGCTGCACACACATATCACCAACACAGCCTATAGCAGTAGTGCTCATCTCTCCCCACAGATCTGGAAATTTGGTGGCAGAGCCTTGGCCATTCATGCTGCCAGCCCTCCCCAACGCACAGGACCTGGTCTGGCGCACAGACATCTCCACCAAGCTCTGTCAGGATCCAAACAGTAGTACACAACTGCAAGCGTAAAAATGCTTGGAAGTAGCAAACACTGCCTCTGTCCTTCCACCCGCAGTCAGTAGGTAGTTCAGACAAAGACACAGCCTTGGGTTGTTGACAGCATTTCCCTGCCACTGAACATCTTTGACTGTCAGCAAATGGCATGCTTTGCTTCATCTCCACCTTTACAGAGAGACACTTACTGCTGAAGGTATTGTTGGTGTTTTCACCCTCATGTTTTGATCTAGTGTTACTAAAAGAATATTCCCATGAAGAATGATCCCAATTTTCGAAGACTCAAAACTGAACCTACACACAAGCTGAAACTTGCAAAACATTTACGATCAAATATTTATTACAAAAGTATTTCTTTAAATACAGAATTTTTAGTTATCCTTTGACCAAATACTTTAATGGAATCAAAACTTCTCACCCTCAAAAAGGCTACAGAAGGCTGTCCATGTGTAAACACTGGCTTAGGAATATAAATACATATTTTATCAAAAGTCTGACCTTGTGACTTGTTTATAGTCATAGAATAAGGGGGCCCTTGTACACATGACTAAGGGCCCTTGTACACGTGAAGAAGTTGCTCCTTTTAGGAGTTTAATTGCCCTTTCTAACAATTTAATTGTATAAGTGTACACGCTTGGCAGCATGTTTTAATTAAATTTCATAACAGTGTACACACTCAGCGGCATGCTTTGATTTAAATGACTTTTTATGTAGCAAACTAAAACACATCCTATGTATTTTAGTTTGTTACATAAATTACAGTGATATTCCCCACATGTACAAGGGCCCTATCTGGAGAAGGGGGTGGGGACGGTGCACAGGGCTCTGGAAACCCAGGCATGCTTGGGGAAGCTCAGGCTTGGCGGGCTTCCAGCGTCCTGTCCACTGTCCCCACTGCCTTCTCTGGCTGCCAGCACACCCAGCTGTCCTCCTGCCCCTTTCCCAGGGCAGCCAACCCATTCTCAGGGGGTCCCGGGCAGCAGGAAGGTGGCGGGACAGTGCACAGGGTGCTGGAAGTCTGCCAAGCCTGAGCTTCCAGCGTCCCATGCACCATTAGATCTGGTCAGTGCTGCCAGTGACCTGGGGCTGCATCTGCGCAGCTAGCACCCCGCCCAAGCCACCAAGGGGCACCACCACCGCAAAGAGAAGCAACAGGCCCCCCCTGCAGCTCAGGGGTTGCACAATCCAGTGGCAGCTCGTGCAGGCAGACTCTGCTAAGGAAAAAAAAATAAAAACAAAAGAGTGGGAAGGGGGCTGATTTTTTTTTTCTCCCAGAGCCTACCTGCACCTCCCGCAGCTGGGGAGTGAGCTGCCAGTGGGTCACACATCCCCTGAGCTGCAGGGGACCCTGATGCTTCCCTCCACAATGGCGGTAACCCCCCCCCCCCCCCCCCCGCCCCCCCCCAACCCTGCCCAGGTGGTCCCGGGGGGCACCACCACCACAGATGGAAGCACTGGGGGCCCCTACAGCTCAGGGCCTGCCAGCAGCTCTCCCCCTGCCCACAGGAGAGGCAGGCAGGCTCCAGGGCCAGGGAAAAAAGAAAAAAAGGATTGGGCCCCTGACTGCTTCCTCCCCCCCCCTCCAGTGGAGCCTGCCTGCTCCACAGTGGGGGCCCCTGGTGCTTCACTCTAGCTCTGACTTGCCTACATATCTGTTTGAAATGCCTCAGGATCTTCTAAAATAACACACTTATTCTGTCTGTCCGGAGCACTCCAACAGGTTGCTTTGGTAAGTATTGTGATTGGCTGCTGAGACAACCAGAGTGCTCTGGACAGACAGAATAAGCCTATTATTATAATTATAGATATATACATATAACATTTCTTCTCCCCCTGCCCCTTTTTTTCAGATCCAGAGCTGCTCACGCAGACAGTGCTGTCCCACTTTTGAGACTAGGACTTGGAGTCCTGCCTTGCTGTAGGATCTCACTGAACCACCACAGGCTCAGATTCTGCTCAGCCATAACTATTCTTCTTCAGAACTGCTTACTGTATCTATGAGATTGTGTTTGTTTAATGAGATCCTACAGCAAGGGTAGGATGGCACTGTGCCCAAACCAAAAAAGGAAGCCAACAAGCACTTGTCTCTGAATCCTAATCTGAC